TATATATATATATATATATATGTATATGTATGCTCTTATATTTCAAATCGATTGTTATGAAATATATGATTTTATAAAAAAATAATTAAATATTTTTCGAGATGTATGAAAATTGGGATATATATCATAGTTTTTTATTTTTTTGAGTATTATGCTTTTATCAACCATCACGTTATTACACACTGATTAATTGGTTGGTCGTCTTAATCCTAAAAAAATACTGAGTGAATCATGATTTAACAAGCTTTTAAGAGGCAAAGACCTAGATTAGAATCTTTTTAGTAGAAATAAGTCAGCATCTGATTATTTGGCTAATCTGAACGATAGAGTGACAAGGATAGTGCAAAAATGCTTTGGAATGAGAGGAAACCGTTAAAATGAAACTATAAAAATCCCTGCAACGAAGCACGAGTTGGTCTCTGATGTGCATGTATGGAGACATTGTGGACGGGATACAGGATCCAAAGATGAATAGAGAGACCTTTTCCAACTTAATAATCATAAATCTATTTGGTAAGAAATATGGTCAGGTAGCCTTTGTTGTGCATGTAGAGCCATGAATGATAGAGCACAACAACATCCAGAGATGGAGAAAGAAAATTTTTTAGCGGAGCACCATCTTTGCAACTGTGTGGAGAAACTTGGTCGAAGATATCACTTGATGTGCATGGATGTTAATATCTATGATAGAATATGATAATATTTCAAGATTGATAGAGAAGCCTTTCCTAGTAAAATTACCAGAAATTTGTGCAAGAAAACATCAAAATATTACCTAGTATAGCCTTTGGTGTGTATTTATGGCAGTTTCAAGGATTGAGCATATTGAGTGGTGAGACAGAAATTTTCCTTAGTGGAATTACCTGAAATTTGTATGACAATGTCAAAAAAATTGGCCTAAAATAGCTTTGATGTGCTTGTATGGCCACATTAAGGATATGCCTCATTAATTCTAAAGATGGAGAGAAATTTTCTGATAGATTCTATAGAAATCTATGCGATTGAGTGCAAAGAAATCTATGCATGATGATATCAACTTGTCAGCAAAACAATGTCCAAATATAGAAAATTTTTTCCAGTGGAGTTATCATATTTCTATCCAATAGAGTACAAAAAAAAGTGTTGATCTTTATGCAATGACGTGCATGTTTGGTGATATTGAGGAAAGTGCATAATGACATCCAGTGACAGAAACGGTTCTCAATTTGGTCACTAGAAATTTCTGAACTCTGAAATTGTTGCGAGCTTGGGGTGATCTATACTATCTTGCTATATTGATTTTTCTTGAAAATATACAAATGATATTAGACTTTCACTGGACGATTCTAAAAAGGTCCTATAATTTTTCCTCAGCCAATAAGACAAACCTATTCTTGTTTTTTTTAATACTTGAGATTTTTTCATTAGTACAGACCATTTCAAAAGTAGCTCTACTAGTCATAACTTTTCTAGGCGTTAGAACCAACGTTAAAATGTACTTGTATTGTATATTTTTATAATTTGGGGATAATATTTGGCGTAGTAGTTCTTTTTTCAGCTGTTTCTAATGTGGTGTCATATAATTTATGACTAAACCAATTTGTATTAATATTAGTATTTATATTTTAGCTTAAATTGGGTTTTTCACACTAAGTGAAATGGAATTGAGAAACTTGCTGTAGAGTGGAAACTCACAAGATTCTTCGCTGCTTTTTGAACTCTGATGTTCCGAACTGAATGGTGTTTCATTTTATAAAAACTCTATTTGTTGTTCCGTTGTGGTGTGTACTCACAATTGTTGTGTTTTATTCTCTCAAGTTTCATGATAGTTTGCCATTGCTTTTGAGAAAGAAATGAATGGAATTGAGAAACTTGCTGTTGAATGGAAACTCACAAGATACTTCGCTGCTTTTTGAAGTCTGATGTTCGGAACTGAATAGTGTTTCATTTTATAAAAACTCTATTTATTGTTCCGTTGTAGTGTGTTCTCACAATTGGTATGCTTTTTATTCTTATTACTATTTTGTTTATACGCTTAAGCTTTATTATTGTTTGCTATTGCCCTAAAGAAAGAAATGAAATACAATGAAATGTAATTTTGTTTCCACAGTTTGTTCTTCTCTTAAAATATTGTTTTTTCTTTATTCTGATTTGGTATTCTTTTGTTATTCATTTAAGCTTTCTAGCTGTCAAAAACCAAACAGAATAACCCTATACTGGCTTCGCTACACCTGTGGAGCTGTAGGCCTTTCTGCATGTTCATTTTGGGTTTTACGCCACAGCAGCTTAATGGGAAGTTCTGATATTGACAACTGGATTCGGACTGCAAAAGAATCAACTACTACATTTTGGGAAGAGCATGTTGAACAACCGGTACACCTCCAATAAGCTTTTTGAATTTACTTTCAGCTAAACTAAATGTGCTGTTTCTCTTATACTGTCAGTAGTTGATGACTTTTTAAAAGATGAGCAGCTCATTTTACGGTCCTATTTCTGTCATTAAAAGGGAAAGATACGGTCCTCTTTCTGTCATTACAAGGGAAAGAGGGATTTTCCTCTAATTTTATGATTTACATGCATAACTTAGGGTCCGTTTAGGATAGCTTATTTGGTGCGGTGGCGTTTTGAAAACGCACCTGACCTGTTTGGGTAAACTGCATTTTGGCAACTTATGCGTTACCAAAACGCTGAAAACAACGTTTTCGCACCGCACCTATCTAGGTGCGGTGACAGCTATCTAGGTGCGGTGACAGGTGCGGTGACAGCTTTCTGGCAGCAGTTTGACTTTTCCAAAAAAAATAAAAATTTGTAATAACCATCGCACCTAACTTATCAGCAGATTCTTCAATAAGCTGCAACTGCTCCAAATAGACCCTTAATCATTTAGTAGCTTGGTTCTTTAACCAATTTTTGTTTGAGTGAGATGCATTTTGTTGTGGATTATCAGCTAAATCAGCTACCTGATTAGTTTTTAGTACACTATCCAATGGATGCTTGAAAGTTCTTAAATTTTAGTTGGGGGCTGTTTGGTTGAGTGAATTTGTGGTTTACTGTAATTCTTTTGCAGGTGTTTCAGAAAATTGTGTTTGATATGAAGAATTGTAATTCTTTTGCAGGGATTTCATAAAATTATGTGTTTGGTATGAAAAATTATAAATACAATGTAAAGTATGAATGAATTTGAAGTTTATACCGCAACTTATTTTGGCTAAATTTAGAATTCGGCCAATTTGACTGAATTTAAATTACACTATTCATTAAAATATAAAATACTTGCTGCCCCGGCCACTCCTGCCACCCCTGATGCCAGTAGCCCGGGGCCCGCCGCCATAGCCGCCTGCTGCTGGTTGCCGCCTTTCATTTGCCCGTCACCAGTCGACCGACAGCCACTTGCCGCTTGCTGCCACCGTCGCTGCCCAGTTGCAGCCGCCAACTGCTTGCCGACCCTCCCCACTATCGCTGGACAAAAAAATATAATTTGAATTATATTGTTTTCAATCTACTTCAAACCAAGTAATAAAATATAAAGTCCCGAGTTTATTTTACAGTGAACCAAATAATTTTAAAGTATTTCAAATACACTCTAATCAGAATACTCTGTAAACATTTTACGTTACATTTCATTTTTAACAAACCAAATAGCCCCTTAAGCACCTTTCTTTACTTATCGGTAGTCATATCATTAAGGGTTCATAGCAATCATTTTACTCAACATCATGGAATTCTTATTATGATTTCTTCCTCCACTACTTCTAAGGAATATCATAACAAAAATTATGATGCCTTAGGTTTCCTTGTAGTGCAAGTAACAAAGAGCCACAAATTATTTTGAACCTTTTCTAATCAACCATGTGATATAGAAGAGGAGGGCGTTCTAGTTATTGACATTTCTCATCAGACCCCATTCCAATTTCCTAATTTTTACGAATTAGAATTGAGTGGTAGGAACTTGTCAATCTAGATCGTCATCAAATATATACTATTATTCGAAATTTTATAATAGATTCATTATAATCGTTAATATGAAAACATGCATAAGTTTAATCACTAAAATAAACTATAGATCTTTTAATAAATTTTGTAAATAATTAATATCTACACTTGTTAATTAACTTAGCACATTTTTTTTCTGATACATCCAAATTATAAACCTAAAACATTAAAGGTACACGACTAAATTGGATCAGGTGACTATGACCCAATTTGTTTTTTTTAATTTACTTGAAAAATCATTTATAGTATCTAATGAGCTCATGGTGGCCTGAGACGGCATCAAAAAGTTGAAAGTATGATCGATCTCCTTGTCAATATTTGTCAGCTTATGACTGCTTGCGGAACTGATCCTTGTCAGGAAGAATGTATTATTCGTTGCAAGATCTTCCTATTAAGCAACCCTAATATAACTTAAAGCTCCCATAGTGCGATCATCAATTTCTCAAGGCTGATTCAACAAATGTTGTTACTAGAGTCCCAAAATTCAATAATTCCTCAAACTCATGCAGGAGGGATGCTCTTAAAGTCAAACATAAATGCATCTACTACCTAATAAACTTAAGTCGCTTGCAATGTACTATTATGTGCTTGTAGAATGTATCTTACCTGTGACATTTGTTAATATGCTAGACTTGAGATCTAGGCCATAGATGAGACTTGAGGCCAATTTAATGTCTGAATTTAATCGAATTTAATCAACAATGATTCAATAGCCTTAACTACCTTGTTTGCTCAATAGTATTAGTGAATGACCATAAAATTTTTAGATTGATTTGGCATACAACACTATCCAAGGGATTGTAATCCCTGCATTTTAATTTTATGGTAATGACTTATTTTATGGGATCTTCAAAGGTTTGAAGCACTATCTTGACGCATAAGAGATTGAGAAAAAATTATGATAGATACCATGTTCTCTCAACTTCTCTTTATATTGTTCAAGTCTATTACTAGGCATGCCATAAAGATCATATTTGTTGTCTCTTTGTTACAAATTTATGTGTTCTCACCGTACTGATCTCTTCTGTCTTTTTACTATAATTTGTTCTCCTTTCCTTAGGTTAATTATTTTTTTTCTCTTATTTAACTATATAAATCATCATCATGCCTTAAATCTTCATGTTTATTTCATAATATAACATTGCTATTAAATTATTAAATTTGAAATTTTATTATTAATATTTAATAAAATGATTTGAGTTATTTGTTTTATTTATTTATTGAATTGTTTACAAAAAATTTCTCATATATATACGTATATATGTATGTATGTATATATATACATATATATATGTATGTATACAATATATACATACATATATATGTATGTATA